GTATGGCGAAGTCCGACCACCCATTGTGGTTGAGAAGCTCTGCGGCATGAGGACCAACTAGCTCAGTCAGTAGATCAAGGTGGCAATCATGAAGGGCCAGGAACTTAGTACGGTCCCACTCCACCACATCCAGCGGACGGTCAAATACAATATCTCCACACTGCGCTCCTTTGCGCTATACTTCAAGGTCAGGTGAGCCTTTTATTTTCCTACCCTGTTTGCTCTCAAGCGGCTCTCATTCATTTACGCTAATCTTAGGTAAACTAGACGGACATTATGCAGTTTTTTACTTGGCTCAAACGCAGCTAAATCACCAGCAAATAATCAGGCCTTCTCCACCCTTTGCAACATGACTAGTATCGTTTCCCCTTCCACAAGACGGCATCCGGCAGATGGGAGATGGTAGTAAAAGGGGAAACGCTGTTCAAAGTCCGTATGGCGAAAGAAACCTAGGCAGTGAGGTTTATTATAAGTCCAGAAATGTATTATTACGTAAATTCTAGTGCTGGTTTTTTACATAACACTGAAGCTGTCACAAATTTCATGGGAGCCGCCTTTTCCACCTAGCAAGGCAGTGAAGCCAGCACAGCTGTTTCGCTGCTGAAAGAAGGCGCAGATGGCAGACGAAGCGTTCTCTTTGACGCCACAGCCATCGAAACAAGTGAGAGTATGGACAGCACCAACTAACCAGACTAAACTTCGTAGTTTCCGAGGTTTAGCAAATTACTGCAGGCCATTTTTGAAGGTTTTGCTTAGATAGCCATCCAGCTGCACAAACTAACCAAACAGTAAGCTGAAAAGAATTTTACGCGAAAAAAGGTGATAAAGCGTTTATAGAAGTAAAAGGGAATGCTCTGCTTCGCACCGATTCTAGAGCATGAGACGCATTTGTGGGTGGTGTACTCTCACAAAGGGACAAAAAGTAGAGGAACACGTCATTGTCTACACGAGTACCAAACTCAGCAAAAAAGTGAGGCAGAAAAGTACAACACAGCGTAAGCTGTTTGCTATCTATGTAATATTTGGACATTTCAGGCACTACATGATAGCGAGGAAGTTCCCAGTTCAAACACATCATCAGTCACTTGCCTGATTAAAACAATGAAGGAGGTCGACCGTTTAGTTACACGCTAATACCAAGAACTGCAACAATATAATCTCACAGTTCAATAGAGAAGTGGGAATAAATATTGTAACGCCGACACTGTCCCGCAGACTAGTCGCGGCAGAAACGGACGGTGTTATAATGCTTACAACATTTTTGAGCGAGCCTACTGAACACGTATAGTACTGATCCCGACTTAGCTCTGCCACACGAGAGTTTCCTGTCATCCTCTTATAAACCCACAGCAAAAGAGATGACCTCAGCGGGCAAATGGGCCAGACAAATGAGACAAAAATGGTCTAAACTCTCCACAGTAAATGAGGTTTTATGGAAGACAAAGACGGGTGTCCTAAGCGCCTAGTGGCCCATAGCACACAATTACAAACAGTTCTCGAAGAGCTGCACGAGTAACTGGGTTACGTGGGTGAAAAGAAGATGCTAAATGGCCCAAGCAAAAGATATTGATAGCTTTCGCTCAACCCACAGGTACAAGATTTCTGTCAAATCTGTATCCCTTGCAGCAGTTTCGTGGTGCATCACCCAACAGCGATCGCACCACTGCAGCCTTTGCCCACGCGGTTCCCAGGGGAAAGAGTAAATTTAGGCATCGTGCGTCCTCTACCACCCATCAAGAGAGGAAACAGATATATTTTGGCTATGGCAGGCATGAAAGTACCTCAGGCAGAACCCATGAAGACACAAGAAACTGAAATGGTTGCTTCTGTTTTCTCCAACCGGTGAATTTGTCAGCATGGAGAGCCCAAATCAGTTCATTTCTTAAGGCCTGAACCAGGCAACACCTTACGGATCTCAAAGACACGCACGACATCAGGGCATCCTCAAGGCATCTTTAGTGAAAGCACCGAACTCTGATCAGACTACTGAAGACTTTTACTAAAGATGCACAATCGAAGCAGTGGAATGTAAGCTTAGGACGCTCCTTCCTGGCGTACAGTACTGCAGTCCATACTTTAGCCGGCATTTCATGGTTCGAGACTCTCACAGGTAAAGAGAGTTCCCTACGATATCTTCCTATCAAACACAAAAGTAGCAGCCATCAACGTCCCAGAGTGCATATTGCGTATGAAAGGTGAAATAAGAAAAACTCAACGTGGCACGTAAGTACTTACCACTGTCGCACATCCGGCAGAATAAACATTACGACACACGGCCGGACTAATCTCTATCGAGAAGGAGTCATAGCATACATATGCAGGTTGATTGTCCTACTTAAAATACATAGCAAGTTTCATCATCCTTGGAGTGAAGATCCATTCCGAGTGGTGAAAGTTCTCTCACCTGCAAACTACCTCGTCCGCGATGCACACCTTCCAACTCAGCCCATAACCGTTCACCGCAACCAGATGCGCCCCTACAAAGATGCACCACCGATCGGACACTAAGGTGCAGTCCACGCGTTAACGGAAGAAAGTAAACTACCCGACGGCATATTCGAAGATAACCCATGCGGAAAGCACAGTGTGCAGTGCGAAGAAGAGGGGTCTATTTAATACTTGTGTTGTTTAAAAGTACCTACTAGGTTAGCAATGCTAAATCAACTCTGGTCACATAATACAGGAGTCTAGAAGAAGGATCTGTAACCGGGCTCCCCCCAAAATTGTACTCATTCCCGTTAGCTCTGTCTACCAAACATGCCCCTACCGAATTAACCTATTCGTTCAAAATATTTGAAGGCTAGATAGGATAAATTGGAAACGCCCAACACCAGTAATTAGTCTTAAGCTAGTGTAATACGATGGTGGTTTAGCCCTCGATATTGGTGAGGCGCCACTTTTGTACTTCGAATTGGTCCCCTTGTACCTCGCTGGGTGGGCTGGCCTTTTGGGCCATGCCAATAGCCCAGACACCTTCTCCGTGCTGAATATATATATTCTGCCCGAGTATTTTGTCTTCTTTCGTCTTCAGGAAGTCTCGGGACGCTACACTAGTACTCATTACTGTATGTTTTCAAAAATTTCACAAATTTATCTCCATCTCTGAATGTATGCCACTTCTTTTGATTTAACTCATCTCGATATTCGAAACTCTTAATAAAGCTCAAAGTTGGTGAGTTTACCAAGTTTCTTACTTCTATGTTCAAGTCAAGTGTTGAAAATTGCTGAAGGATAATAACTCTTCAATAGCAGAAGGAGCAACGGAGAAATTCGCATGGGCGAAGTTGGATAGGTTGCATAACTCGTTTGAGAGAGACAGAATTTAATGGGTGCATGGGATATGCAATGGCCTAAATCACAATCGCTATTATTTTGATTGTCAAATCTGATTAAATAAATCTTGTTGCAATTAATCTATCAAAACGTTAGTTCGATCGAGGCCGGGAAAAACCTCGGGAGATTTAGAAGGACAAGGAGGCTACATGCACTTCTGGCTGGTCTCAAAGGATACTTACGAGCTAGAATCAGCATTGATTAAATTTTACATAAGTGAGAAGGCCTTTGATCCTTACAGTAACGATGTATTTCTAGTGCTTCTACCTACTATTAAGCTGCATTGAGAGACACGGGATCCTTTGTCTTCACACTGCTAGAAGCTAGAAGTTGGTATGCAACGAGTTCATGTCACTTTCAATCGCCCTTTTTCGAAGAATTTTCTGAAGGTAGAGCCACGCAGTAAAAGTCAGGGATTAAATTATTATTATTATTGTTATCATTATTATGGAGCTAATGCTGTGCCTTAGCCACCCTCGTCTCCCGTAGCAGCAATGTTCAAATTTCAGCGCTGTCTCGCCTTCCATCGGGATCCCATTCAGCTAATAGAGATGTGGTGAAAGTACTATATATTCACGTTAACAACGTCTTTACGTAAGTTCTGGGGGCGCTTCAAATGGCAGACTTCATTAGGCATTTAAGTCGGAGGTCGTCGCAAATGTTGGTAGCCCCTTGAAAAACACTAGGCTTAGCCACTACCAAATGTAGACACCGTTTCTGCCCCCGTAACTAAGGTTTCCGCAAACTCAGGTATTCGCAGCAAGATGTTCGCACACTTTGACGTTGAACTTGAGTAAGTCCAGATGGAAGCAAGGAAGGTTGTGCTTTTAGGGTAGATTCGTTTGTCAATGCTGTGAGCCTACTAACGCGGTCTGGAAGATTAAAGCTTTTAGTTCAGAGTAGCTACTTTCCACGAAGACCTAATGGTCCGGGTAAAAAAAACTACGGTTGAATTGACAGATTGCCAAATAATTGATGAAAAAGAGTATTTAAGATATTTCTTATCAATGGAATTGACTAATTGGGTACCAGCCCAGTTCAGCAGAATGGCCAATAATATTTATCAATGCACAATTTTTTCCGTAAAAATAAGAATTTATGCCCTTCAAATATGTTGAATTTCACTTAGCAGAATTTAATCTTAAGAATGCCAACGAAATGGTGTTTATCCTCTTTAGCTTAATAATTATGCGCAGAATTTGTTGGATCGCAGTTTCAAATTTGGAAGCTCCGAGATTTGACAGAAGTGCCCTAAGAGCCTATATTCGTTTAACGAGGAGTATAAATGCTTTTAGACTTTTAGCAGTAGGTATGAACTTCCATCGCAATAAGACAAACGATTTGTTTAGGGAGTTTTAAAACATGCTCACATAAAGATGAGCTCAAAAGGTGACGAGATTTACCTATGAATAGCGATTTTGACAAAGTTCGTGTATATGATTGGAACTTCTTTTTTTAAATCTTACATGTACTCTTTGCTTCTGTAAGAAGAAGGTGAGAATCTTTTGGCACACGAATGATTTGTTTGAATGTGTACGAATTATTTAATATATGAAATTAGCAGTTTGTGACCAATCAGGGTAGTGACCGTTTTGTTTGGTGGAAGCCATATTTGTCTGCAAATTGTATTTTCATAGGAAAATATACGAAGTGGTCTATGCAAATAAATGAAGCTTGTGTATTATGTAAGATATGATTATTGCGGAGAAATCCACCTACTTGTCTGCTTAGTGCCATCCTTAGTTAGATATCTGTAATTGAATGCTTGCACGCTTTTTGGGTCAATTTTAAATCTAGCAGGTTAAAGCGGGATGGTGAGCGTGCTGATGCCCTAGAAAATGCACGTGCTTTTTATTTACAGGGCTTTTCACAACAAGATCTGTCATTTGTGTCCTCTCTTCTTCCCAATTCGAGTCGCATTTTTTGTTTTATTTTAGCAGTTTAATGGAGAAAGAACCACATCCGGATCTCTCTCATGGAACTTTGAATTATCAGAATAATAATTTTAGTCACTCGAATTCTTTAACAACACTGAATTCCAACTATCCTAACTCCAGTGACCGTACACATCTACAGCAGCAGTACGGCGGAAATACTTCTCAATCCTCTCAGCACGTTTTATCCGTTCAGAGTTCAGATTCGGCGCGTTGTACCACTGACAGTTCGGGTGCTGTTCTAGTTCCTGGCTGTTCGTCATTAAGCTCCCGACTTGCTCCTGGGCAAGGTTCCGTCTACATGAAGGCGCAGTCTTCACAAGGCCTGAACGCCTATTCTGAAGCGAGTAAACCGCCTGCTCAAACGTTTTATGGGGTGGGTGCTTCTGTTACTCCGTCTAGCCAAGGGACTGTGCCTACTACATATGTCTCGCACGCTAATCTACAAGGCACTCCTGGCCCAACATCACGTTTTAGCGGCTCCACCAGTTATCCGAATCCGATGACGAATTCAACCATTCAGAACTCCCAAGTTCCTGGGTCTTCCTCCTCAGCAACTGACCTTGAAAAACGGCAACTCATTCAACAACAACTTCTTTTATTGCTGCATGCTCAATGCTGTCGGCAGGAACAGACCCATTCCACGCCTTGTACCACTCCTCACTGTCGCACTATGCGGAATGTTCTTCAGCATATGAAGAACTGTACTGAAGGGAAGAACTGTCGAAAGCCGCATTGCGCTTCATCACGACAGATTATTTCACATTGGAAAAATTGTAGCAGCCGGGAGTGTCCGGTGTGTGGACCTCTGAAGAGAGGGCATCAGCAGAGGACCGTCCCACAACGGCCGCCTGGTCAAATTCTTCCCAACGCTTCGCAGCCTAGTGAGATGAATGGGGTCTCTCCTGGACAACCAGCTCCAGTACTTCGTTCTCCAGCACCTCAAAGTGTTAGAAGGTCTCTTCCGGCAGCCACCGCCACTTCTACATCTCAGGTCAGGATTACTGGAGCTTACACTCAGTCGGCTCCCGTTTCTAGTGTCCCGACTACCCCTTCTCAGAGTGTGAGCGAGAGTGTTGAGCAAACGGATTGGCGAGCTGGTGTAAATATGGAACACCGGGATCATGTTGTTCGTAGAATGTAAGTCACCACTTGTTTTGTATCGGTATTTTTAGAGTCAAGTATATCTTGCCACAGCCTGATCCTGCGGCCTACAGTGATCCACGAATGGCCAACTTGATTGAGTACGCAAAGAAGGTGGAAAATGCAATGTACACAACGGCGAAAGATAAAACGGAGTACTTTCAACTACTCTCAGAGAGGTGTTATAAGATATACAAGGAGTTGGAGGAAGCTCGGCGTCGAAGGAAAAGTGCTGCTTCTGCCTCTGGAAATGGGTCTACGTCCTCCCTTCCGAATGATTCGGCCGTTAGTACTAATAGCGTATCGGATGTATCCGCAAATTCTGTCGAACCTGATAGAATGACTCCGAACAGAGGTTCTGTCTCTGCTGACTATCGTCCAAGCATTGCCAACTCGAATGCTGAGTTTAACCAAGAATCAGATTCAAGGGACGGTATTGGTGCATTCAAAAAAGAGGAGGATGTGAAGCCATTTGTTTCCGATACCAATCAATCCAATTCATCGTCTAATGAAATAAAAAAGACCCAGATTAAACCTGACGACTCTCTTCCATCCGTTGCCTCTATTTCCACAGGTGGTGCGTTAGGTTCTACTACTGTTGCTGACACCACCAAAGTTGATGAGTCCAAATGGAAAAAGTGGTCTCGCGAAGAACTTTTGCGTCACTTTTTGCGTCTCCATGAAGAGGTGTACGCCGATAAAAATGCTGAATGGTTTCGTGACCCGGTGGATCCGGTTGCTTTAAATATACCAGATTACCCGGAAGTTATCAAACACCCCATGGATCTAACTACGATCCGGAATAATCTGGAAGATGGTATATACAAAGATCCATGGGAAGTGTTGAACCACTTTCGCTTGATGTTTAACAATGCCTGGCTATACAATAAAAAAAATTCCAAAGTATACAAAATGTGTACTAAAGTAAGAAATTTTTCTTTAGAATCATTCTTTTAGCTATCGGAGTTATTCGAGAGTCAAGTGGATCAAGTAATGCAGGCGATGGGGTTTTGCTGCGGACATGAATATTCCTATCAGCAAATCCTTTATTGCAGTTCTGCAAATGTGTGTACTATTGGTAAAGATGCTCACTACTATATGTACACAAATACGTAAATTGTTAATATCTCTCTCTAACTATTTACTTTAGTGACAAAAGAGTTCTTATCTGTGATACTTACTATCAATGCGAGAAATGCTTCAACGAAGCAGGAGATGAGATAATGCTTGCGGACGAAGCTAATCAGACTCCAATGTATGTTTTGGGATTTCTTCTGAGTGCATTTTTCTCTAGTCCTATTAGAAAGGAGCTTTTTGAACGAAAAAAGAACAACGTAACTATAGAGGAGACCGATGTACATTGCAAGGAATGTGGCCGTCGTTGGCACAAGGTTTGTGCTCTTCACATGGATGAGATTTGGACAACGGGATTCGTTTGCTCTGGATGTCTGCGAGAGCGTGGTCTTAGACGGAAGGAAAATCGTTTTACTGCCAAGAATTTGCCCACTAATAAACTGAGTAACTTCCTTGAACGCAGAGTCAACGATTTCTTGAAGAAAAAGGAAGTTGGTACGGGGGAGGTGACGATTCGCGTTCTTGCCAGCTCTGATAAATTGGTTGAAGTGAAACCGCTGATGCGGGGTCGTTTCACAGAAAGTGGGGAACTGTCTGAAAGCTTTCCCTACCGCCTGAAAGCCATATTTGCATTTCAAGAAATTGACGGTCAAGACGTCTGCTTCTTTGGTTTGTACATTCAGGAGTATGGTTCCGAGTCTCCTCAGCCAAATCGAAGACGTGTCTATGTAGCCTACTTGGACTCCGTCTTTTATTTCCGTCCGAAGCAGTATCGAACGGATGTCTATCATGAGATTCTAGTCGGTTATTTACACTACGCCAAGCAACTGGGCTACACAATGGCTCATATTTGGGCTTGTCCTCCGGCCGAAGGAGATGACTACATATTTCACATGCATCCGCTAGAACAAAGAATTCCTAAGGCCAAGCGTCTTCAAGATTGGTACAAAAGGATGCTGCAGAAAGCAATGATTGAGGGCATTGTTGCAGATTTCAAAGACATACTCAAGGATGCTATTGATCATCACCTAGTGTCTCCTACAGAAATCCCCTACTTTGAAGGCGATTTTTGGCCGAATACTTTGGAGGAGATTTTGCAGGTTAGTGAGGTCGCTTTTTGTTGTAGGTGATTTTATTGAGTTTATAGACGCCTTACCATCAAATGTCTGGAATCATGTGTAACAGTTTCTCCGTGGTAGCCAGTTTGACAGGCGTCATTAATTCTAAACATTTTCTAACCTAGATGAGTTGAATTGGTAAATTTTTCTGCGTGAGTTTCCTAGCGTTTTTAAATTCAATTTGTTAGTTTTATGTCCATAACGAATCGCTTTTAACCGCATTGGGGACATGACTAGCGTGCAATAAACTAAACAAGCTGCAGTGACATCTATTGGGTTCCCTGGACTGGATTCAAGACCTCTGACAGATCAAAGCTCTTACACATTCAAACCGTCAAAATTAAGTATTTTTTGCATTTAATTTGGTTCCGCATTAATCTGGGATATTCTAAGCTAATCTGTCATTTTTATTTGTTCAACATGATCATTGACACTTTACCCCATTGAGTCTCACTTTGATCGCCTTTGGTAGCCCTTAGTGTTTTGCTTAATTATTAGCATAGTTTTGTAACAAAATTTCACTTGCTAATCATGACCTATTTTCAATTTCATCAGACCAATTATATCCCAGTATCCTACTCCCTAGGCTGTCCGTCTGTGTTCACGTTCTCATAAATAACCACTAGTGTTTTATAACTGTAGCTCGTGTAGATTTCGCTTAATTCCAAAAAAATATAATGAATTTACTTAATGTGCATTTTTTTGCTGTTTTAAGGATTTGGACAAGGAGGAGGAACGCCGGCGTCGCGAAGAGGCGTTGGCTGAGACCGAAGATGATGATCTGGATGGGTCGCGTGACCGAGACGGTGGCCACGGCGATTTGGACAAACGGTCCGGCAAAAAGAAGGCAAAAAAACGCAAATGTAGCAAAAAGTCTGGTGGTTCTACGGCTAACAAGCGCAAGAAGCTTGATGGGCCGGTGGATTGTAACACAGAACTTACACGTAAGGTGTACGACACGATGGAAAAGCTGAAGGAGATATTCTTCGTTATTCGGCTGCATAAGCATGGGGCCACCGCCTCCCTCCCACCTATTGTGGATCCAGATGCACTTATTTCCAGTGAATTGATGGATAGTCGTGACTCCTTCCTTCAAATGGCCAGAGAAAAGCATCTTGAATTCTCCTCACTTAGACGAGCCAAGTACTCGACTTTGGTGATGCTCTACGAATTGCATAACGAGGGCAGGCAGAGCTTCCTCTACACTTGCAACGTATGCAAAGACCAAATTGAAACTCGATGGCATTGCAATGAGTGTGACGAGTACGATCTTTGCAATCGCTGCTACAAGCGTGAAAACCATCCTCATCCCATGGAACAGTATGGTCTGGGTATTGAAGAGGAGGGTTCTAACGCCAACGGTGAGTCCAGTGGGGAACGTCCGGTGGGAAGTACGGACAGGAAACCGAATCTTGTCTCCTGTATCGCTGCTTTGGTTCACGCCAATCAGTGCCGTGATGCAAACTGTCGTATGGCTGCTTGCATCCAAATGAAGCGAGTCTTGGCACATCTACGTGCCTGTCCAAAACGTTCCAGCGGTACGTGTCCACTGTGTCGTCAACTTATTAGCATGTGCTGTTTGCACGCCAAAGCCTGTACGGAAGAACAATGTCAGGTGCCACTATGCCCTCAACTCAAAGACAGGCTTCGTCAACAGCAGATTCAAAAACGACGTCAGCAGAACAAGTCCCTGCAGAGAAGGACGAATCTCACTCGAGGAGCCACTGGTACGGAGTCCTCTGCCGCGACTTCGGCCTACCATTCTCAATATGGGGCGCCGGGGAACTCCTCTGCCCAGTCGTCAAGTGGAGATCTCCCCACATCCATGGCTGATTCGCGACAGATTTCTCGGAACTCTTCATTTAGCAGTACTACCGATAGCAGCAGGGTTGGGAGTTTACAGACTCTTTCTGTCAACGGTGGGATGACGGTGGCGGCATCTCCAAGGGTTCTGCCCGCACCCTCGTTCTCACTTCAGGGCCAACAGCCTTCGAGGTTGCCTGCTGCTTCCTCACAACTGGTTTGGCGGGATGGACAGCCAGTGCCTTCACAGCAGGCGGGACAGATGCAGCTGCAGCAGCAGCCTCCATCACAGCAACAGCAGTCCATGACACCTACTTCGACGTTCCGATCTGGCGGTAATGGTGGTGGTGCTCTTGTGACGCAAGATGTTAACAGCCTGGCACCCACTCAACAACAAATTGACCAAGTCGTAAAAGTGGTTGATCTCATTCGAAGAACACCGGCTTCTCAAGAGGAACAAAATAAGCAGGTGTGTGATGCGCTTACTGTTTATGAAATGCTCGACTCTTGGAGATCCTTATTCAAACTTCTCTTTTGTCAAAGACGAGAAAGATAAGTTATTTTATGAGTTGTGTGCTTTTTGCAAGTCGTTAAACCATTCGTTTTAGTGAGGAGATCATTCTGTTCTAAGTAGTCTTTGTCCACCGATTCATTGCACCCCTAGTTTGTGCTGTATGGTACAGACCTTTGTTGTATCTGGTCTCTCGTCGCTATGATGGCAATTTAGTAGCCCAACTTGTCTAAAGCTTTCATCTTGATATTTTTCGGCCAAAAAAGTGCTACGGTTCTGGGATGGTGTATACTGTTAGAATACAAAGCCGGCTGCTCTTTTTTGCCTTATGTGGTCTAATTTATTAGTTTGTTCTCTCCGTGGCCATCATAAATCATTCAGCAATAGACTTTGGTTGGGCCGAATGTCCTGCCACGAACTACTACATCCTACTTATTGTCTGTTATTCTTTATATTCTGTAGTAGTAAAAGTATAGCATACTAGTCCAAAAGTAAGTCTGTTACTGTTATTGGTGGTGTCGTGTTGATATCGTCTCTCATATTGCCTTTGGATACTCACTTCCTATCAACACTACCCGGTTTTAGTTCATCAACTGGATTAATCGCCATCCCGAGTTTCGGCCAGCCTTCCTTGCCCTACGTGGACGCAATAGGCAAGCTGCCAATCAAAACCAGCGCGTAGCGCAGCAGCCAACCGTTAGCCATCAAGCCCCTGGAGTTCAACCCCAGTCTACGGTGGGCGTCACGCCCATTCAACCATCTTCGTCTTCAACCACCGTCCTTTCCTATAACCAGGCCGCAGAGTCCATTCCCTCCACCTCGGCGATCTCACAACCAAGGCAAGTTGCTATCAGCGCAGCAGTTGGTCAGCGTCAGTTTTCACAGCAACAACAACCGGCACAATTCACACCTCACTTAGCTGACCAACAACAGCAGCAACAATATGTGATTGCGCAGCCGATGCGTGTCCGTACCCTCCCTGGGGGTCCTGCTGTTATTCAACAACAAGTTCAACCTCAGACTCAGCATCCGTCCGACCAACAGTGGTTCGTCACCCGTGTCCGTACGGGGCCTGGCCAGCAGCAACAACAGCTCTATTCCAACAGTAGTCCTGGAAATGTGCAACCCTCGGCAGCAGTGTACACGGCAACAGGAGGAGGAAGTACTGGAACTACACTTTTGACAACAATTGGAGCCGGTGGTGGAGGCCCCCAACAAACCCAGCATCATCCACAGCGGATCATTTCACCGTCAAGGCTCATTCCCGCAGTGACTGCAGGTGGTGGAGGCCAAAGAGTCGGTGGGCAGTCCACCACAGTGGTTCATTTTCGGGCGGCTTCGCAACAGCAGGCGCAGCAGCAACAGCCGCCTTCGCAGCAGCGTCCAATTGTGGCTCTGATGCAGCAGCCATCCCCACAAAACCCACAGCTGTTGAAGCCTCAACAACAGCAGCAGCAACCACCGCCCCAGAATCCTCCATCTTCCTCAAGTAATCCCTCGGGCTCGTGATTTTAGCTTCCTGCCGATAACCTCTTCACGTGTGTTAACTCTTCGAGTAGAGGTTGTCTATACCATCGCATTTCTCCCTCCTACCTATTCCGTTTGTTTTGGCTTACTTGTGCATGTCCGCGCACTGCCGCAGGACCTCTCCTCCCTCCACTTCCTTGTGCTGAGACTTTTTTTTACTTACGTATCAATCATGTACTAGCAGCGCGCGCGAAACTTGAAATTAACTACTACCACCGCAAGCCTCGTGGGAAAGTCGTGGTGTCTGCCACTGGGATGTCGTCGGCTGCATGAGGGTGTGTGCGTGGGTGTATCTCAGCGCCAATCTCTACGTATTGTCCTAATCAGTGAAGTGCTACTAGCTGCCCCCTCTTTTCGTACTCCAGCAGGGATGCGCACACCTTTCACCAGTCATCGCTCATTCTCTCCCGCTCCACTTGCTCCTCACTGTATGCACCGCGACCACCAACTTGTACATGCTACCATCTCCTCCTCCTCTTCCTGTCTACTGGTCGAAGCGCGTATCACCTTAGCGCTATTTCAATTATATATGTATATAAGCCTTCTTTTCTCTCTCCTTCTGTCCAACTCATACACACTTTATTTTCTTGGGCTGCGGTGAAAACTCTTGGTACCTTGAGCCCATCGCTGTTACCACTAATGCCACCTTCCACACATTGGTAGAATTAAGACTTGCCCGCCGCCTTTCCTGCTGAACACCTCAATTTCCGCCCTAACCCCCCACGTGCGCGCTCCTGTCGGCAATGTTGCTCTCCTGCAACGCGCGCGTGCTTGCGTGCAAACTCTGTAAATTGTTTTTCTTCTCCCCAAGACAACTATTTCTAGCGATACCGACCCTTCTCTCAATATAGCCGGGAGGTTATAGAGTTACGACTGTAACCCGATCCCAAGGAGAAGGTGGATGTTGCGAATTGGCAACTCATCTTGATATGAGTTCTCAACCTGCTTGCTTCAAGGTTGAATCTATCAATAAAAATGAACCAGTGAACATGACAATTCTTGTGGCGGCACTTGTCAATGATAGACGCCCCTGAGGGTGTTTCAGGTATAAACGCTCAATATTTTATCAATGTTAGGCGTTCTTGCCTGTATGCACTGGTAGAGTAGGGGTAAGTGCTTGGGACGTTGACAACATTGTTTACTATTCTCCTACGGGCGAGGAATTCGTGTCGTTTTCGCCATGACAAAGTTAGCAGGGATGTCGTTTTGTCGGTCTCGTTTGTAAGTTTCGTATTTTATGAGTTTAAAGTTGCGTTTGGGTGGCATCCTTATCTTATTTTAACCTCAACACGGAGGTGGATTTTTCCTCCCTAGAGGAAGTAAAGAAGCACTTTTGCGACCTTGTTTTATTATCTTAAACTTGGGGTTTGAGCTCAAGCCAGTTTGGGCGGTGACAGCGTTGGTGTGCTAAGACCGTCGTGTATGGTCCCCAAGAGTTGGCGTTAGCAGCGTCAATCGGGATCATGGTAGGTGTATCAAAGTGTGATCTGGTTTACTTTCCTCTATCCATTTGAAGGGGTCCTCTTTATTGTGATGACAGTGTGAAGGTTTCCATCTAGGAGCCCAAATGCGGTAGTTGGAACAGTGGTACGTTCTATCTCTAGTTCTTTGAGTCGGCACGCACTCAAGTCACATAATTGGAGTGCTTTTCATGCCGAGTGGAAATCACTTCAATTTGGCATGTAATGCAGTTGAAAACGTCTTATTTCAGCTTGCGCTCATCAATTTGACACTTCATCATTACTTCGTTGCGTGATTAGAGGTTCACAATGAGGCTGTAGACGATCCACTCAATTAATTGGCGCTGCGCAACTCGCTCTACACCTGCGCTTTATTCCAAGTCTGATTGACATTTAAAACAGGGTAGTGCCTAGAAAAGTTTATCACCCATCTAGGTTCATTGTGTCAGACGTATCAAATGCTCCCATCCCCGAACTGCCATCTCTGCTTCACTGTTCATAGATCGTCTTTTATTTTTTGAGTACAACTCTGCGTTGTCTTTGTAAAGCAAGAGTATTTCATATAAACTTCTAAATCGGTATTCTTGGAATTTTGAGCCGAATGGGGAAGGATTTTGGGATACTTTACTGGCAGAAGCCTATTGTAATGCCAAATTGACGTTAGGGAGCTGCCTGCATCATGCATGGACAACGCAAAACCCTGCAGTACCAATCTGTCCAGTGGGTCTACAGTTCATTTGTCAATTGAATAGGCAGTTATTTGTAGCAGAATACAGCTGAACCTTCTGCGTCAGGTTTCGTCCTTCAGGCAATTTCATTCATTTTATTGGATAGTTGAACTTTCAATGAGTTCTCGCCTTCTGCACGCACTAGCTGAGCCTCTTTGGTTGACTATCGTCTCACCAAGAGGCAGGCAGGAATTCCTTTGAAAAATTTTGAAGTTAAGATAACCTTGCTCTAGCGGTATAGGCTGCGGATGCATGACAGGCTTGAAGCTCGGGTGAAAAGTGTCGGAGGGTAAAAGTTCCAGCGAAAAATGCGCCACTACCTTTGGGTAGATATAAAATAAGCTCTTAATTGCTAGAAAACAGGATGCCAATTTGTTACATCGCATACATGACTGCCATATCGTTGTTGTCAACACCTTTACCTACAACGTAATAATTTAGTGGGATGTGGATTCGCGCTCCTCCGCGATAGGCTGCATTGGTCTCACAAACGTCAATCAAATGGTTCGCTTTGATCTCCCAACTGCTTAGGCTCATTCAGCCTTAATGAAGCACCCATAGTTATTTTCCTACCATTCTTCAGGTAAAACCAACAAAAATAGTCTTCGGAAGTCTTTTTTTTTGTATCAGTGTACTACTGGAACGAGTCAGGACGAATTCGTTTTATCTGACAAGAGCAGCACAAAGCCTTCCCACTCCAACGTATACCTTTAGTCAAAACAAGAAGTATTTTGTCTATTTTTAGTGGAATGCTTGTGTATTCGGGTACGCATCCGTGTGAAAGGACATGGAGTACGACCTTCTGATGGTGGTACAATAAAAGTAAGGTGCAGCGTAGTTAAAAAAAGCAATCGTCCAATCCACCTTCAACACAGAGGCGGTTGTTAAAAAGCGTCTTTGTGGTTTTTTTTCATAACCAAGGCACCTCATTGTTGTACTGAAATTCGTGTCACTGAGATCACCTAGGTTCTAAGCAAAAAAGGAAAACCAAATAGCCAGTAGAGGTGTCAGTAGCATGAAGGGTATATTAAGCGTCTTATCGCGCTCTGGAATCTGTCACGCCTATTCCACTTGTGCAAAGCTCTTTGCAACTAAACTACCTATGGCGGTATTGAAATGCCATATCACAGTATTCTGTCTCCCGACCCGCATGCCTGCTCTTTAAGAGCCATGTCAAAAGGGAGAGGATGTCGCGAGGAGCCTGCCGTACATTTCGGGCAATATTTACAGCGGTATGAGTCATGTCATGAAGTGGCAGTAGTGGCTCGTATAGTTATGATGGCATTTAAAAATACCAGTGTCCAAGTTATTCCTAACGATGCTCTCGGGTATACGAGTCTGGAAACAGGTTTATAATCGACATACAGAAGGACTGGTAACATTGGTGGCATAGGCGAGATGCCATAAATTCATCTTAGAAGCCAAATCTAGAAAGATAGAAGAAACTTGTACAGGAATGTATTACTATGCCACACAGAAACTCTGTTATTTTGACTGCCTCCATTGGACCTACTTCGGTTATCACATAGCAGTAGGGTTTACTTTAACTTGTCACCTACTTAGGTCTCAGGGATAAATCGCCCAATGCGATCCAGATATTTCATTGCTCCATTAATATAACAATTTCTCAATTTCTTCATTCTTTTCAGTTTAATGTTTCATACCTGTGTGATCTATGAACCCAGATTGGATAATTCAGACGTCACAAATATGTGACGATGGTAACGAAGGTCTGGCGATAATTTTTCGTTACCATAGGGAGACCTTGCAACCCAATTCATTGTTTGGATTGGCACATTTTGTAAAAATCCTTGATAATACCGGTTAATTGAGGACATTTCCATAGGACTGCTTTCCGAATTCTTTAATCTTTTTACTCATTTGAACTTTAAGGTTTCCAACTGTCTCTCTGGATTAGACCTTGCTTTCTGTAACGTGGCACCGAAGCCAACCAATCTTATTAGCAACTTCCCATTCAAGTATACTTTTGTATCTTTACTAGTTGTTAGTTATTGTAGTCGAAGAAAGACAATTTAGTTTTAATAGCACTTTTATTGTGAGTCTCCTTCCTACGGCTAGTGGACTATGTACAATGCTAAGCTTTTAGGAGTAAGTTTGCTAATGTTATCACATATGTAAATCCCGTAGGTTCAAGATTAACTCAATTCTCAACATGCAAATGTGGGAAGGGGTTAGTAAAACGAACGGAAAAATGAAACATTATGCTAACTGAACATAAGGGAGGTCGAAGAGCCTAGAGAAGACAGACTTTTGCATCTACCTCACTCCCCCATAAAGTGTAGTCGTGCAGTAATACATGCACACAGCTGAGAACTGAGCAGGCGCGTTTGACATAAGAGAGGGTTCTTCAACTGATTGTAAAAGCTGACTGGCCTTTCCACAAAGAACACCGGTTATTGCTCAAGGCAACCTCTGACCACATCAGAATTGATGTAGTTACAGTGGACCCACTCTCCATGGGTTGTGGGGATTAATCTTCTTAACCGATGTGATTCGACGAAAGTAACTGATGCTACATCGAGGGAGCAGCATGAAACTGTGTTACCGCTAAACTGCGCACCTAAAAGTCATTTACATGCAGCATTAAATTCGTACTGGCTGGGTTGGCTGAACGGGTGACCATATTTAGTGGGCAAGCAAAGCTTATCAGACCACAATGAATCATTGGAGCTTCGCGAGCTGACGGTGCAAGGAGGCTACACACATTATTTTCTAGGCCTTCTAAATATCATCGTAACTTTCCTTAATGGAGGGTAGAATGGGTGATGAACATTCAGTTGTCGAAATGAAAACGCAGTCCTGAAGGCAAGGATTTCTGTTCCATTGTGGATAATATCCACTTCGCTCTAATGGAACTTGTTGATGTATCTAAAATAGAGATGACGAGCTATAAATTTCGTGAAATAAATACTGTTTGTGATTGTTTATCATCAAATCCACACTCACAGTGGAATCTAAGCCCTCAGATTAGTTCTTTTAAGCGAAGAAACTTTGCTAGAACGGTGTTAACTATTTGTTCAAAAAAAAACTGTGAGAAACCAAGAGTTTTGCTAAATAATGTAATGCTCTATTTTGCGGGACCAAAAAGTGAAACCTGGTGTGTACACCTCTCGTTGCTGAATATTTGTTGGAAAACCTACGGATCCTGTCGACCACTTGACTATAAGCAGCCTAACGCCCCCTGTGGGAAGATTCCATAAGTTTCCTTTCTAACCACCACACCTACGGGTAAATTCTTATATTTGACTTATAGCATTTTGATACCCGAGTTTTGGTGTGTTGAATGAATTTGTCGGTGATTTAGACAATCACAAAGTGTCAAAGTTGATGGCGGTGATTTGAGTTGTGAATGACCTAAAAGAAGGCGATTTCTGGAGACAATGATGGCTTACATTGACAGAAGGTGCCTTACTTCTACCTTTGTCTTTTGTTTACTAAACGGACCCTAGCAGGGTAGTTTTTCTTCCTCTCTTCCACAAATAATTTCTCCTCCGTGGAAATACTCTTTCGTCCCTTGTCTACAAAACTGCGAAAGGGATTGCAGTTACATTTGGGTAGCTCTGTGTATCTTTTTTTGATCTAGTGTGCTTAAAAATTGAATTTGCGCAACACTGTTTAGGTATGTGAACCAAAAAAATCTCCTAAGGAATGTAGAACGAAATGATGATATATGCATGTGGGATTAAACTGAGGTAACCAATTTCTCATTTGTTGGCGGAACACCTTGGTGGTGTTTAGTATCATTGTTTTCTGCAATTCAAGTGAGTACTGCGCTCCTTTTTATGCACCAACACTACTTTATATGCAAGAATAATAGGGTGGAAAAATGCTGCATCCCCACTGAGAAAAAAAGGTTCACATCCGGTGATAAATATACCATTAAGCGTTTGGCCTTAAAATGAGGAATTGCGCGACATCAGCAATTAAAACAGCATATACTTTTTTACCAAAAGAGTGTAAATAATAAATAGGTAGTCACAGCGATAATGAATGCTCTGTTAAACCGTTCTTTAAGGCATTTAGTAAGCTCATGCATGGCTACTCGCTATGTCGCCTGCCTTGATGAGGTCCTAAAAAAACGGAAGGAATTGCATAGAACGTGACAAAGTGCGATATTTATGTGTTTATCATCACTTTCATTTCGGGAATGTTAAAACATAAATCATGAACAGTTTAAGTTGCCAAAGGAATTAAAAACGTCACTTTTTGTCAAATATGACATTTTTATCCAAGGTCAAAACAGAAGAGAAGAGAGTTGAATTTAACTGCTTCTTGATGCAATGCGGAAAATTTCAAAAATATTTACCTTATTTATAGGCAAGATTTCTTCCGCGTCTCGTGAGGACAAACACAGGTAAGAAAGAAACTCGAGGACTCTTAAACTTTAACGTAATTACACAACTACGGGTGTATGCTTCTCGGAAGCCGATTTCAAACTAATTCGGTGGAAGAGCATTTCAAGTCCCACTCGTTGAAGTCTATTTCTGTACACTGCCATTAAATGTGAAGTAATCGAACGACGTGTCACGTGTCTCTCATTGTCTGTTCTCTGTTTTCCTTTCATCTTTGCACATTATGCGGGTGACACCCAATGCCGTGGGGTGTCTTGACTTTGGTGAAGTGAACTTATTCCACACACACACACATACACACACACACACACAAGTAGTACACCTATTAATCCACTAATGGGTTTTAATTCGAGAGGTAGTTTGGGGTAAGGTACGTAGAATGGTTTAAAACTTCAGCTTAA